CTCGGCTCCCCCGTGACTGCGGTAGGGGAGCAGGAAAAGGATCCTGGCGCTCTCTCCACCTCGTGGGCACCTCCCCTCTGCCACAGAGCAGCCCCCAGTCAATCCTGCCTCACAGGGTCTTCAGGCAGAATCGCACCCCCTCCCTGCTCTCCCCCGGAGTCTGTGGGGCACCCAGGGCTGTGATAGGACCAGCCTCTCCATCACATGCCCGGCTCTCCCACGCATACTCCTCGCGCCACGGCCTGACCTGCAGGCCGCTTCCCTCCTCCCTCCATCCCACAGGCTGGTCCCCCCCGCCTGGAATGCCCCCTCCCCCTCTGTCTCATGAACCCAACCCCCAGCCCGCATTCCCGGGGGAGCCCCCTGTCCACCGGGGCTGCTGCGCCCACTCCCTGGGTGGCTATGCGGCTCTGCTCTGACAGTGACACAGGACGTGGCGTATGCCTGGTGGCGGTGGCACCAGCCAAGGCCCCTTGTCTCCCTGTCGGCCCTCCCACTCTGGACTGAAGCTCCCAGACCGCAGGGAGGCTGGCGTCTGACTCAGAGGCCGGGCACCTGGGACGGAGCAGCCGGGCACCGGGCACTGGGCACCACAGGTGCTCCGGCGGGAGGGCCATGCACAGCCCAGGAAGCCGGCGGCAGGGAGAGAGGCTCTCCAAGCTCCGTGCCTCGGAAGGCGAGGTGTGAGCCACACTGTTGCTTTTTAATCCTCACCCGAGGATATTTTCCCATTGATTCTTAGGGAGAGTGGAGGAGAAAGGGAAAGACGGAGAGGAACGTGGATTGGTTGCCTCCTGCAGGGCCTTGGGCGGGGGAGGAGCCTGCAACAGAGGTGCGTGCCCTTGACCGGAATGGAACCAGGGGACCTTTCCATTCGCAGGCCGTGGCTCTATCCAGTGAACCACACCGGCCAGGGCAGCCCCACTTTTCTAAAGGAGCAGGCCAGCGCCGAGGGGCAGGAGGGCTTGGAGCCAGCCTCAGGCCCCCAACCTGCACCGCCAGGGCCTCCTGCCCCCTCCCCAGAGTGCTGGCCCCTCCCAGCTCTGCCT